ATGAATTACCGAGTGAAGCTCACATGTGTAATTTGCTTCAGTACATAATAAAATAAGGCTTGCATTTGACACAGATCCTGTGACATCAGAATGTCTCAGAGCAGTTTGCGTGTAATTGCTATAATTATCATGGTAAGCCCCGGTTACTCATTGATGAAACAAACAGCTGTGGGGGGTAGAAATGTTTCAGCATTGTTTTCCCAGTGCTGAATGGCCGTAACTATTGTGTACGGAGGATGCTGACAGAGGAGGAAGGACGAGAATTGAAGTGAAACAGACTTTGAGCCAAAAATGTGAATTTCTCTCAGAATTAGTTTTTCCGAAAATAAACGTTTCTCTTTTATTTTAAAAACGCGCCTGGGGGTGGTGCCTGCAGTGCTCTAATGATAACATTTGGGGCTATTTCCTCCCTTTCTGTAACTTTTAGAAAAGATCGCTGAGGCCCACATGATGATCCTAAAGTGAGATAAACAACAACAAAATTACATTTATACAGCGCCTTTCACGTCGGGAAGACGTCCCAAGGCGCTGGACAGAGTTTCGGACCCAAGCTGGGGGTCGGGGTCGGGGTCGGGGAGGGTGGAGGGCAGGTGGGGGGGGGAAGCAGTGAGATCGAAAGCACGGTCGAAGAGTAGGGTCTTGAGACGGGTCTTGAAGGAGGCAAGGGAAGGGGCGAGATGGAAGGACTGCGAGATGGAATTCCAGAGGGTGGGGGCAGAGTGGCAGAAGACCCGCCCGCCGATAGTGGGGCGAGCGAGGTGGGGGACGTGAAGCAGGCCGGAGCCCGCTGAGCGGAGGGAGTGAGCAGGATGGTAGGGTTTAGGAGGTTGCAGAGATAGGGACGAGTAAATCTCACACCACTCCCATCCGTCAAGCCCCTTGATCGATTGCTTCGCCAATTTGCTTTCCGATTCCCTTTTAACTTGTTGACATGATCTGTTACTATCGGCCACCCCCTCCCACCCCCTCCCACCCTCGATTCCACATATTCACCACTTTATCTCTTCATAAAGTAATTGTACATCAGCTGTCGATTCACCTTGCTGTAGAGTTTATGACTATATTAAAAGTGTTACAGGTGTCAAGTGCCCCATTATAAAGCACCTCAGTTTAGCCCGGGAACCCTCTTACAATGTGCCCTCGCAAAACACAGGAAGTTTGGAACAACTCCAATGCTGACTTGCCAGTTTCTTGTACATGGTGTGCATGTGCCCAACACACAGAAACTGATGTCGCTGGTGGCCTGATGACCCGGAAACACTGGCCAGCGATCATCTTTTAGCACACTTCCATATAATACAGGGTCTGTGTTGTATCAAAGCGTTCCTGTATTAGGGATGTTTCTTTAAACCTTTTGAATCTTGAATACTCCAATCAGCCTTCCCTTCTCCGGTGTAAATATCACAGCTTCTGTTGGCCCTGTTTATAATTCCAACTAATCAATTTAGTTGCCCAATAACACATCCTCTCTAGTGCCAAGATGTTCTACTGTAATGTTTTATTGATCATTATTATTAATAATAATGTAATAATCAATACTGTGATCTCCACCCAAATCTTTTTTTTTCTGTATCTTCTGCTATTCACACTTACATTAATCCTTGTACTTGATATTGTGCCTCTAAGGTAATTGCTGTCAAGTGTGTATAAACTTGCACATGGAGAAGTCTTACTGAGATCGAGGTAGAGAGTGATCATTTTATCTGGAGGATTGTTAGCCAGGACACCAAGAGAAACTCCTTTCTCTTCTTGAATAGCAGCATTGGACCATTAACCTCTATCTTAACAGGCACAGTCGGGACCTATGTTTAATCTCTCAGCCAAAGGATGGCACCTCTGACAATGCAGCATTCCCCAATACTGACCTGGAGTGACAAACATTTGAGCTCAATTCCCATTGAACCCACAACTTTGTGGCCAGGAACCATCTTAAGAAAAACAAACACTTGCGATATCACAGCAGGAACACATCACTTACAACGCATTCTATTTCGACCTCCTTGAGGTTGAGTTGTTCAAAACTTAAAATGTCACTGTACGTGCCAAGCCTAGACTGAAGATGTGCCGTGTGATTCAATAGCGTGTTTGTTGCGTGTGACCAGCATACGCATCAACCCTCATTCCGCACGCCCCCCTCCCCCCCCACCACCCCGTTACAGAGCCGAATAGGGGCTCAGAGGGAAGTGCGCTGAGCACAGGGTTAACCAGAGTCTCTTTATTTACAATATAGCCTTTGGTTCTTATTCTGCAGCTGAGAAGGAACCACCGTTGTGTATTTTAAAGGTGGGGAACCGTGATGAGAGAGCCTTGACGTTGTTAGAATGGCCACCCGCAGTTGTTTTAATACTTTTAATGCCTAGTTTTGTCAGTGCAGTAACTCATAAGGCAATTAATTACACTTGCATGGGGCTGTTCTCTTTGGAATTACGTGGTTTTTTTTCTCTTCGGAATTACGCAACGAAGCACTCCCGGATCAACCCTGAATGAGGGACCCAATATACATGCAAGTTGTTGTTATGTAGAGTGCAAGATCCACACAGGAGTAAATCTCTCCAACACACTCGACAATTTCATTCAAATCAATGTCTTTCTTCCAGCTGGGAAAATCGTAAATATAGTAGCATTATAAAAACATGACAGAGTTGGGGAAACAGAGAAAATAGAAGGGAAAGAGTCAGGACAAGTCAGATAAAGCTTATTTGAATTTCCTATTGAGCTGGGCCTTTAGTGAGTGAGTTTAATATTACTATATAAAAAAAAGCCTGATATTTGTGTAACTGTTGCATTTTTACTGTACTCATCAATCCATGAGCTGAAAGTTAGCTGAGGTATCAGCTTGGATCAGTTGGTAGCACTCTGGCCTGTGAGTCTGAAGATTGTGGGTTCAAGTCCCACATGAGGACTTTAAGCTCACAAAGGGTAACACTCGAATAAAAAGCTGGGGCCTGCTTCATTGCCAGAGGTGTCATCCTTCAGCTGAAATGTTAACCCGAGTCTGTTCAGGTGGATATTAAAGATCCCATGGCACTGTTCGAAAAGACAAGGGAGTTTCTACCTGTGTCCTAGCCAACAATCCCCCAGATAAGATTGGTTACTCACTCCATGGCTGTGTGTGGGACGTTGCTGTATGAAAATTGGCTGCTGTGTTTGCCTGGAGAAAAACCACAGTCACTGCACTTCAAAGCAAAATCCTGTGCAAGCTCCGTGAGATGCTTCAGCAAAGTGATGATGCTAAATCGAATGCAAGGCTCGGTAGAATTATTGAGGTCATGAACTATTGTGTGGGTAAGAGAAAAGAGATTGACCCGCAGTACGAAAGAACTGGCAGCAATGAGACACTGCAAATGACCATCATCATAATAATAATAATAATCCTTGCATTTGATATAGCGCTTTATCATATGCCATTGAGATGTCTCAATGTGTTTCACAAGATACGCTGTCAAGTGGATTGACCATCTGCGTAACCAATGTGAAAAAAAATCTCTTGATACAACTGTAATGACTGATCCTTCCTCCTGTGATGACACTCTTAGATCCTACTAAGGGTTTCACTCTGGTCCATTTGCCAATAGTTTTCACGACTTCTGTTGTTAGAATGTGGCTAGGATATTGCACGACAGAGCAGGAAACTGCACAACAACTATTCACGGTCTATGGATTTTTGCCCTTGACTGACGAGGTTGGAGAAGCATTAGAAAAGTCTTGGGATCGCTGGTGGTTAGTGACAAATGGCCAGGCAATGAGCAGTTAAGTCAGCAAAACAAAACAAGGCAGAAAATGGGCTACAAATACCCATTTTTTAATATGAGAAAAATCTTGGGATTTTCACTTAAAAACATAGAATAATCAGTGGAACAAAACGCATGCTCAAAGGAAGTGTTTGCAACTCAGTGAATTAAGACAAGTCCCTCATGTTGAAAATTGCAATAGTACCATAAGTACCGTTCGATATAGTATTTGTATTTGATATAGCTCCTTATCACGACGAAATATCTCGAAGCAATTCGCAGTAGTTATTGTGAAGTGTAGAGAATGTGTAATTGTAGGCAAAAGTAACAGCCAATTTGCGCATAGTAATGTCCCACAAACAGCAAGGAAACAAAGGATCAATTTAATTGGAGGATTGTTAGCCAGGACAGCAGGAGAAACTCTATTTTCTTTTTAATAGTGCCATGGGTTCTTTATGAGTCTTATTGACATCTAATAGGGTCAAATAGCATAATAATACAATAATAATCCTTGCATTTGATATAGCGCCTTATCACATCTTGAGACGTCTCAAAGCGCTTCACAGAATACACTGTAAAGTGTATCGACTGTATACTTGTGGGCGAAATGTGGAAGCCGATTGAGCACAGCAGTGTCCCACAGACAGTTGTGAGTTGAGTGACCAAAGACAAAATGGTGTCACAAACAGGGCAAGAGCAGGTGAAATTTCAGGCTGTTATATGATCAGAAAGAACTGTGGGCAAATATATGCAACAACAACTTGCATTTGTGTAGCCCCCTTCGTGCAGGCTCGCGTCTCGGAGAATGTAAAGATCCAAAATGCAGGGAAACAGAACTGTGTTGTAAAGATATTGCATAGGCAGGCGGTAACTGAAAGATTATACGCAAAGCGCGTTGATGGATGGTGGTGCAACTCTATTTCACAAGTGTGGCTTCAGCTTTGACACAGTCTCGTTCTTCTCTCACTTCTATCCTACAACTACACCATTGCAATTCTCTGCAAACCTGCAGATCAATAAGCTCCTGCTTGGCACATAGAATGAATATTTCAAATAGAATGAATATGCTGTGGCCAAATTGGCCGCCACGTTTCGTCTCCAGAGCACACAATGACTACACTTTATAGTGAATGCTGTGAAGCGCTTTGAAATGTATCTCCTGACGTGAAAGGCGTTGGCTGTGTCGGGGTATTATCACGTATTATTTGACTAGTTTGTGGGCTATCAATGCGCTATTTGAGCATTAATTGTTTGTCTCTCGTTCCGCAGGGGAGCAAGGGGCACTATCACTGGCAGAGTCACAATGTTAAACAGAGCGGAGTGGACGATATGGTTCTCCTGTCCAAAATCACAGAGGAGGCCATCGTGGAAAACCTTAAGAAACGTTACATGGATGATTATATATTTGTATCCTTTCACTGCAGCGGAACGTTTTAATCTGAACGAATAGAAAGAAGCCTCGGTGCCAGGTTTTGACGGGGAAAATTAGAGATCGTCTTAGAGCTATTTTGATCTGTGTGCAGCAGCAGCGTCGAATGTTGCAGCAACTTCCTTTGGCTTGGTGTCAAGCTGAAAGCCATCCTCCTCGCTCACTCCAAAACCCTCATACCTCTGGCCTTGATTACCTCAGCCTTCCCGGTCACTCTCGCCACCTCACTGAGCCAGTGCACAACTATGGCGTTCTCTTTGCCCACTTGGCTCTCTTCCTCACATCCAGTGTCTGACAAAGACCGCTTTGCTTTATCTCCATCATGTCATCCACCTCCGTCTCTACCTTGGGCCCAGTGGACCTAAGCCCTTATCCATGCCTTCGTCACCTCCAGACTTATGTTCTCAAAGGCTCTCCTCCACCATCCACAACCTCCAGCCCATCCAAGTGTCAGCCACGTGCTTGTGAATGTTAATCATCACATGCCCTTCACTCCCATCCTTGCCGACTCCCTGTCTCCCAGCAGATGGTCTGCAAACTCGGGCCTGCTGCATGTCCCTCACTACCTCCACTCCACCATCAGCAGGCGAGACTTCTGACAGTGTAGACCCCACCCTCTGGAACACCAACCAAATCCCCCAGCCTTGTCTCCCGCGCCCCCCACCCACCCCCCGCCACCTCACCTCCTCCCACCCACTCTGCTTTAAAAGCCTTCCGAAAACTCATCTCCTTGACTGTGCAAGATAAAGTATTGGTAGCCCCAATATTGATCACTGTATACCAATGGGAAGTATCGCGTTTTGATATTTATTGTTCCAGTCATATTGCTCAGCTGACACCTCGGTTAAGATTGGCTGATCTGTCGCACACGCAGAGGATGAAAATCAAAGCTCTTCTGTTCCAACATTGTGCCGTGATTAATTAACCTTTCACCACTGAGTAATGCATTTTAAAATACTTTTCGCGAAGTACTCCAGATGCCGGAAATCTGAAACTAAAATAGAAGTCGCCGAGAACACTGGGCAGGTCAGGCAGCATCTATGGGGAGAGGAAAGTGAGTCAATGTTTCGGGTTCTGACAAAGGGTCATGAGGCACGAAATATTGACTCACTTTCCTTTCTCTGTAATGCTGCCTGACTTGCTGAGTGTTCCCGGCGACTTCTGTTTTTGTTTAAAACACCTTTCTGTTGCCGAGGGTGAGGGGAAGGAAAGAAGGAAGGAGACAGCTACCAATGCTTTATCTTGCCACGGTAATTTGTACACAATAAGGAAACCCACCGTTTTCAAAAATAGATTATTACTGGTGTTAAAACCCCTTTTTTTTGTTACTTGGAACCCGATTTGAAAATGAACCGCCTCTCCCTGTGTTTTGATGGATTGAGATTCAAAGGTTCACGTTGACAAGGGAGAGGAATGTACACAGAATGGACTCCTAAGTTCATATACAGCAATAACATTTATAAAATTGTTCTCATGTTTAATTTTTGGATGAAGATGGCGTAATGTCCCATTGGATCTCATCCTTCTAGAGCCCCAGTCCTACCGTCTTCTCACCACAGAATCAAGATTTTTTAAAATAAGTCCAATGTTCTAGCCTCATCCACTCTTCCTAGCAATTGTTAATTACCCTTTGGGTAAAGAAATTCTTCCTGATGTCTGCCTTTTGAAACGCTAAACTGATGTCCTCTTATTCTGCTATTTTGTTGCGTGCGAAATGATCATTCTGATCATTCTGATCATATTTTCAATCGCTTTTAATAATTTACATACCTCTAAAAGGTGCCCTTTAAAACACCTTGTCCCAAGCCTGAGGAGCCCTGACTTGTCTAATTGTTGACCACAGCTCATTCCTCTGATTTTGCGAAGGACTAAACAAGATGTGTTGGTGATTTTTTTTCAATCGTAAGTTAAATCCCTCTATTTTATGTCATTCTTAACCACTTTATAGTGGGCTCTTGCAATTGCCTTTAATGTGGTTCAAATATAAATCTTTTAAGAGTCATAATCCAACTTCAATGTTTCTATCCAAACTAAACGGACATCCTTGTACAGTATGATCTTTCCAGTCATCCAGAAATCTCTACATCCACTGGATGAGGTAGATCAGACCTCCGTTTCTCAGCTTGTATCTTCTACCTACTAGAGATAGCCTTGAAGAGGAGGTGGTGTCAGTTGTCCTGCCTACCTGTAGAGGTAGACATTAATAGTTTTGTGTAGTTTCATGATACAACTCGAAAAGAGAAGGGAGTTTCTCGCTGTGTCCTGGCCAACAATCCCCCAGGTAAAAATTAGTCAAGACTATTTGTGGAATGTTGCTGTGGACTAATTGGCTCCCACGTTAAATGCAAGCAAGGATTATTATTTATGAATCGCTGGACTGCCTACCTAAAGGAAGTAGGTTATTCCAGATTCATTTTCAACCAACAGAAGCCTTCCCTTCCTTGGCTCATGCAGGAAAATCTGAAAGTTTACAAAACAGGAACATTCAGGCAGGTTGCAGGGGAGTTTCAGAACAGGCTATTTCTATATTAATTGTACTCTTTCCAAGGAATTGAGACTGGTCATTGTATTGAAGGTAAGCAGAATGATATGCAGGCTACTGGAAGGGAGATGGAGACTTTAGAAGTTCCTATTTCTTTTAAACATATACTATCCTAACCTTGAGGTTAGATAAATAACAACTCACCTATGTTTTGGAGGATAACTTACAAATTGAATTTGGGTTATCAAATCCATATTTAAGATAAATAACAATAGCTGCCTCTAATTCACACTGTGTTTTCCTCTGGTGAGTGAATCCAGAACAGTGGTCGTTGGGGTAGGGGGAGCATAATGTTAAATTAGAGCTAGGGCATGTAGGAATGAAATCAGGAAGCATTTTTTCACGCAAAGGGTGATGGAATTCTGCAACTCTCTACCCCAAAAGGTTGTGGATGCGGGATCCATTCAAGTTGTCAAGACTGAGGTGGATTGAATTTTGTTAGGAAGGTATTTGGAGTTGAGATTCAGATCAGCTGTGATCTAATAGAATGGCGGATCAGGCTCAAGGGGCTGAATGGTCTCCTCCTCTTCCTACGTTCCTAAGTGTAACTGTCGGCCAGTTATCACACAGCTGTTTGTAAAATAAGGGAATTTGAGAAAAAGCTAAAATTTGCAGGGTTGATATGCAGCGCTTGTGAACATATTTCTGTGTTAAATTCAAATAGTGAGTCGCCTTTACATTTAGAAACTCCCTCGAAGCCCGAATGTTCCTGTTTCATGTTGCTTCCAGATGTTGCGACATGAGTCAACGAAACATAGTTCTGCAAATTACAGACTAAAATGGGAAGTATCATTTGGAAAAAAAAAGATCACATTACTTAAGTAGAGTAGTGAGCGCTGATGTATAAATGCAGTGCTGGGGGAGGGTGGGGGGGAGGGTGGTGGGGGAGGGGGCGCGGTGTTTTGTTGTCAGAGATGTTATCCTTTGGACGACACGTGAAACCAAGGTCCTATCTGTGCCTGTGCAGGTGGATGTTAAAGAATTCGTGGCACTATTTGAAGAGCGGAGGGAGTTTTTTCCGAAGCCTTAACCAGCAATCTCCCTAGGTAAAATTTGTTAGTTCACTTTACGGCTGGTTGCACAACTAGTTGGCCATGGTTTGATTCCAAACCATAAATCCTGCAAAGCGCTTTAAAACCAATGTGAGCGGCCTGTATCAAATACAAGGAGAAGCGTGAGGTCAAATAGGCTTCTTCATCCCAAATGCTCTCATGATCTCTTGTGACTTTATCACCCCCTCCCACCCCATCCCATCCCATCCCACCCCCTCAATCTAATGCACTGACTGTCAGCTTCCAGGCGCAAAGATGAAGAGAGGCCACTAGGGTGAGTGCTGCAGTGAGAAGATGGAAATGTACCTGGATTCATATGTTACCTGGATTCATAGGGCATTCATATGTTAATAGACTAAATCTAGACCCAGGTGGAATGTTTTGATACTGGCAAACTCAGGTTGCAATTACAATTGTTTCTTTTGTTGTGGTTTTTATTCAGAACCACAATGGCTGTGGTTTGATGGAAGGATTGTTTCAACTTTGAGCAGCTCCTTTTGCAAGCAGTTTAGCAGAAAGTGCAACTGGGGACAAACAAAGTATATTTGAAGTCTTCAACAGGAACAAATTACATCCTTTTTTTCCATGGGGTCTATCCATACGGTAGTTTTTCGTGTGTGTGTGTGTGTATTTATATAATGTTCTATATCTGATGTAAATTCCACCCAGATCTAAATTTACTGTATGTATGTCACATTTTGGAGTGTCCAGAATTTGCCACGTTCTTAAATTCAGCTTTGATTTTGAAGCTGTATTTTCACAAGTTTCCTTTAAGAACTACAGAAAACGGGTTTCAGAGTTAAGAATGAATTCGCGGATGCCCTAAAATGCTAGGTAAATAGGGTAAATATAGACCTGGATGGAATAATCCATAACATTCTTATAAGAAAATGGTAAATTGCAGAAGACTTGTATTACAGATATAGCTGGATTATTTAGTTCAATTTCTAACAATAAAATAGTCTTGGTTGGAAGTGTTACTGGATTCCTTAAAAAACAACAATTAAGTCTTGCTTGCATTTCTGTAGCTCAGTCTCTGTGGTTTGTATAACAAACACACCACAGGGTTCATTATTATTATTATTATTTAACACAATTGTTAAATAATAATAATAATCCTTGCATTTGATATAACGACTTATCACTTCTTCAAGACGTCTCAAACCACTTCACAGAATATACTGTGAGGTGAATTAACTGTATATTTTGTGGGTGAAATGCCTTTAGTGTCCTGTATTGCAGTTAAGAAGAGCATCTTGACAGGTCTTTGCGCTTCCAGAGTAACAGTACCAGGAGTAACATTGCGATCGCTGCCTCCATCAGCATTGCTCTCTGTCTCTGGCTCTCCTCTCAGCCCATCCATCTAGAGGTACGTTGTGGGTTTCACAAGAGTGACCTGCGAGAGCTTTCCTTGTGACCAAAAACAAAAGTCACGCGAGCTCTGGGGAGGTGACAGTAATGGTGGTGGTCATGGTGGTCAGTAATGGGGGAGGGGTGCGGGGCGGGTCGGGGATGGGGAAACTATCGTGAGCTGAGGGTAGCCAGGGTCCGAGAGTGTTGGTGGTGGGATGGGATGAGGAGAAAAAGGATTGCTTCAAGTTTAGCTGAAAAGGACAATGACTATAGCGTCCACAAGTGGCTGTTCTGCTATTGCGATGTGCTTTGTGGGGAGGTTTTATTTTGAGAACTGATGAAACTCATTTCCCAACTGCAGCCACAAGCGAGTGGGTGGCCATTTTGTCACTTTATTCTGCACGAAAGTGGGCCTGAGGAGGAGCAGGAGGGTCCCAGGTGATAGAGGTGGGGAAATGGGCTCTTACTTGCCATGGGCTCAGATTTACGTCTCTCCTGTTTCACCTTTCTCTACCCCCTCCCTCCCCCAATCCCCCCCCCACTACCACCTCCACCCTCCACCCTCTTCCACATCCCTTCCAGTTCCAAAACTGCAAGTCGCAATTTGCAACACAGCTTCAAAGAAAAAAACACAGTGGTGTACCAGAGTCTGTTATCGCCAAAAAAAGTTGTTGCAAAATTCAAAGATGGCTCGAAACCTTTTCAAAACCCTCTCGAGGAGACCAAACTTAGCCTCTTCCTTTGGTTTTGGTGTAAACTACATCATGACTAATACACAGAATATAGCAACCAGTTAGTCAGTCAGCTGACTACTGAGTGACACAAAATGGCCTCTGTTTTTTTTATTTTGAGAAGGGGAAGGGGAAGGGGTAGGTTTCCTGGTCCAAATCTCCAAATCTCTGACTGTCCCAACGCCTTGGGATCTCCTCCCAACGTGAAAGGTGCCAAACAAATATAATTTGTTGTGGTTGCATGCTTATCAGTGTCCAAATCATCCTGAGAGTTCCACAGATACGTATGCCACCTATGCATGGAAAATGTCCCTGTCTCTTCTTGGAGGAGGAGGAAGGGGGGGGGGCATCCTGTTTACGGAATTCCGGAGAGTGTTAGGCGCAGGTTGGTGAGAGTCAAGGTTTGGGTACCCCAGAGTGTGTGTTGGAGGTAGTTGCTGGAGTTTAACCAGGCAAAGGCACATTGCTTGCCTTTGAGCCCACTATCTGACATGTTTGTTCAACTTGGACCATCCTTTGCTTTGACTTGTATGGAGCTGAATGGGAGGGAATTCCTGTACTCAGTGAATGGTCTGTGCCTCCGAGTTTGCCAATGACACAGGCTGGCCGGTGTTGTCACCGGCGGTGCCTTGGAGCACTGCAGACACACCTGGCTCAGGAACTGAAGTACCGAGACCATCAGAGAGGGTGGAGTCCATTCCGATATTCCATTGCCAAGCACGTCAGCGTGACGTCAGCTCAGCAACAAGAAGATTTCGCTTATCTCCCCCCATCCCACCACACACACACACACAGGCAAGAGAATATAGTCATCAGTAGGCCATTTAGCTCAGTGGTTAGAGCGCTCGTCTCGCAAGCAAGAGACCCAGGTTCGATCCCCGGCAGAGAGAAATATTGGGCAAGTTTCCTTACTCCACGCACCTCTGTTTACCTAGCAGTAAATAGGAACCTGGTTGTTAGTCGATTGGTGGGTAATAATTCCTTCAAAAAAACCTAATGATAAATTGGTCACTTCAGTCAACGACTGTTTGTGTGGACGCTGCTGTGCGCAATTGGCTGCCAAGTTTCGCCCACAAAATACACAGTCAATTCACTTTACATTATATTCTGTGAAGCGCTTTGAGACGTCTCGAAGACGTGATAAGGTGCTGTATCAAATGCAAGGATTATTATTATTTAATGGCTGACAAGTGTAGGTTTAAGCCCTCACTAGATATGCTGCAGACACCAGGAACTTCTTGCGAGCTTCCTGGCGAGCAACACAGCTCAGCTCAGCTCAGCGTGAATCATGTGAGAGCATTACCACCATCCTCCAACCTGTGGCCTATAAATGTACAATCTCATACCGATAGCACGTAGGTAGTTTCCAGTACATAAATAAGACCCTTAATACAGGACAGTGATATTTACCACTTGTGCAATCGAGTCACACAATATTTTACCAAACGTAGGATTTCTAAAAAGTGTTCGAATAATAAGATTTTTGCTAATTATTTTGCGGGAAAATTATGCTCCAATTTAAAGTCCAGCAGGGCTGGGCTATCCCTACAATCCCATACGTGTCTTCAGTGAGACGTCAAGCAGAGATCAGAAAGCGTATTTATAGGATATACTGTAAAGTGAATTGACTGTATATTTTGTAGGCGAAAATGTTGTTGCAAAAACATATGAAGAATGAATAAATGCCTTAGCGTGTCCCTCAGACATACATTGGTACCGTGCTGATCTCCGTGAACCCGTTTAAACAGATGCCTTACTTCACGGACAGAGAAGTCGAACTTTACCAAGGAGCTGTGAGTAAAGCTTTCTGATTTTAATACAGTATCTCTCTCTCTCTCTGTCTTTCCTGTTTTCTCATGAACTTGTATCAAAACCAATATCACCTGCAGTGGATAATAATAATAATAATAATAATAATAATAATAATAATAATAATAATAATAATAATAATAATAATAATAATAATGCTTGCATTTGATATAGCACCTTATCACATCTTCGAGACATTTCAAAGCCATTCAAAGAATAATTATTTGGGAAGGACAAAGTTTGCAGGGAATCGGATTGATTTGGATAGCTCTTTTCAAAGAGCCAGCACAGTCATGATGGACCAAATGGCCTCCTTCTGGCTGTATAATTCTATGAATATCCTGTAAAGTGAATTGACTGTATGTTTGAGTGTTTCTGTGCAACTGGTATTTTGTTTCTAAATGTGTGTGTGTGTGTGAGAGAGAGACAGAGAAAGAAGAGGAGGGTGTAATAGCCATACTTCTGAGAATCGACTTCTATTGTGGTAAATTCAGACTGAACAAGGCCGCTTTAATGTTCTCAGTTGTCAATGACTTTGGGCGCTCTCCTGAGATCAAGTGATTTGGCCGGGCTGTGTTTTGAGGTTTCTAATTCTATGTTTAGTTAAGTAAAAAAGCACAGTTGTACCCTTGTTTTTTCCTGTGTATGTGCTAAGCTATTCATACGATGCTTCTTTATATCCCCATCTTACTTCGCCAGCTTTAAATCGTCATTGTTTCCATGATAAAAAGCAACCAGAAATGAAATGGAGTGTGTTGTATTGTACAGAGCAGCTGGCGCTGTTCATTACAGAACAGTGGGTACCATATTACAGACCAGTACACACTGCGTTACTAATTACTAATAACATGGAAGAGACTCTGAAGGCTGAATATTTTCAGTTTTTTTTATTCTTCCTTTCTGTCCACAGGCTCAGTTTGAAAATCCACCTCATATCTATGCTCTGGCAGACAACATGTACAGGAACATGTTGATTGATGCAGAGAACCAGTGCGTTATAATCAGGTGCGAGTCACAAAAAATTCACAGATTAGCATAAATCAGGATCGCTTTATATTTCACATGGAAAATTAATCGCTCTCATTCCTACATACACTCATAACATACACACCATACACACGCAAGACCACATACACTCACACCGCACACCACACACATATGTACACACTGCGCCATTCGCAGACACTCGCGAACACATCACACAAAAATAGTTTACATTTGATACAGCATCTATCAAAGAGCCGACTGGGAAACCAAGCTGGGGCTGGCGGTGAGGTTAGGTGTGGGGAGGAGATAGCTGAAAGCACGTTGAAAAGATAGGTCTTAAAAGGCAGGGAAAATCGACTTGGGTTCCAAAACCTTGGCTGGGTGAATGTAGCTGTCAGCGTAAATGAGAGATTGAGAGAGAGAGAGTAGCAGACTGATCAATGGCCCCAGTCAGGGATTTCACATCAATCCTGTCATTTACTCTCTATTTCAGTGGCGAAAGTGGAGCCGGAAAAACAGTGGCAGCAAAATACATCATGAGTTACGTATCCAAAGTGTCAGGGGGTGGAGGAAAAGTCCAGGTAAATCCAACTGATCTGAGTGTGTCCATCCAGTGCCAGCTTTATTAACCTTCAGCACTTCAACCAAGCCTGAGTCTCAGGGGAGAAACATCTTCAAATCAAATCTTCAAATCAACTATTCTACTTTTTTTCCCCAAATCTGGCCCTTTGGTTAGCTTGAACCAGTGAGCCAGATTTGGCTGTGGGACTGGGATGAAGGCATCTTCGTAACATGTTTGTTTATTTATCCATCGTATTTTAGCATGTGAAAGACATCATCCTGCAATCAAACCCACTGCTGGAGGCTTTTGGAAATGCCAAGACGATGAGGAACAACAATTCCAGTAGATTTGTAAGTCGATGGAGCCAATTTGTGCTAAACCTGTCTCAAGGTCCTCGCTCTCACCTACGAATCCCTACATGGCTCCGCCTGTGACGTTGTCCATCTCGCTCCTCTGTCCAGCCCCTCCTGTTCCTTATCCCCACCACCCCACTACTACCAGCGGCCAAACTTTTAGCTACTGTGACCCTCTCTCACACACACACACACATTGGGACTTCCTCCCTAAATCCCGCTTTAAAAAGCCTCCTGAAAACCCACCACTTTAAACGTGCAATATTTCTCTTTCGTTCTTTCCTTGAGATAAATGGATTTCTTTTCTGATCTCACTCCAGGATTTTATGTTCACGTTGATTGCATCAACCACCACACACTGGCTCGCTCCGGCTACTTGGGTTTGAGGGAATTCATTGCAGTTCCAAACCTCATAGTTCACTTGGCCATAATAATCCCCAACACGATCATCCTAACCTTCTACTGTCCTCAAGAAATCAGGATTGCTCCCAGACACAGATGGCAATATTCTGACCAGCTCTGCCGAAGGGGGAGGTTTATATCTGATAGTTTTATGCCCTTAAACTCAGGACTGAATAGCATCCTCACCTGACAACAAAACGTCAGCACGGACTGGGATTCGAACTGTGTCCATAACAGTCGGTTCAACCCACTGCACCGATGGGGCTGTCCCAAAATGCAAATGTTTTATGTGGCGTTGTGTGTGTGTGTGTGTGTGTGTTAACAACCTACTCAGATACCGGCCGTTATAACGTGTGCCATTTCTTGCTCAGGGGAAGTATTTTGAGATTCAGTTCAGTCGTGGTGGAGAACCAGACGGAGGAAAGATCTCGAATTTCCTGCTGGAGAAATCTCGAGTTGTGAGCCAGAACGAGAACGAGAGGAACTTTCACATTTATTACCAGGTCAGGTCCTGCCTCCCTGCTTTATCACTTGACTTTAATAGAAAATCAGAATAATTCAGTAAATCTAATACGCTGTAAAGTTCAAGGGAAACCCACCAACATTGCTTTCAATGAATTCCATAAGGCATTCCATAAGGCATTCAAGTGCCTTGTGAAGCCCTCATGTAGAAACTGGAAGCTGCGGGAATTTATGGCCAAGTCCTGGATTTTATCCAGGATGTGTATTCCACGTCCAAAGTCAATGCAAATGTAGTTTGGGCACTCAACAAGCTGAATGCAGTAATAACAATAATAATTATCATCCTTGCATTTGACATAGTGCTTTATCACGCCGTTGAGACGTTTCAAATCAGTTCACAGAATATATGGTAAAGTGGATTGACTGCGTATTTTGTGGGTGGAAGAATAAAATAATAAATTCATGACAGATGTAAATCCAGATAGAAATCGCACCTTGAAAAACCTTTCTAAATTTAGATTGCTTTTTTCCTTCTCTCCTCCTTGCCCCTCTCCGTCCCCCGCCCTCCCCCCCCCCCCCCCCCACAACAGCTGCTTGAAGGGGCTTCACCAGAGCAGTGTGAGAACCTGGGCATCGCTGACCCTGATTATTACTTCTACTTGAATCAGTCGGGCACAAGCAAGGTGGATGGGACAGACGACAAGAAGGAATTCCATGAAACAGTGGTAACTAGCTGCCTTCAAAACCCTCAGAAATGCACATCCTTTGGGACAGTCAGTCAGGATCACCCTGTGGATCAACCATAACTTGAAATAAACCCTTGAATGAAAAGGACAAATACTAATAATGCATTTTCCCAGTTAATTACTGAGGTTTTATTTTAAAAAGCCAGACAAGTGCTTTAATATAATGCAAGGAGTATTAATACTATAGCACGCAGTGAGACAGCAAAATAACAGGTTCGAAGCTGTGAAGCATAATTTCAGGACAGACACCAGGAAGTTTATCTTTACCCAGAGGGTAATTAATGACTGGGACAGGTTGCTGGAAGGGTGGTTGAGGCCAGGACACTGGACTCATTTAAGAAATAGCTTGGCACTGTGATGGGAAGACAGTGAGATGGGTGCTCTGGAGGGATGAGATCAGATGGGCTGATGAATTTTTTTCTTTCCCCTTAGAATGCAATGCAAGTCATAGGCATTTCCTCAGATATTCAGATGATGGTGCTGCAAATTGTTGCTGGGATTCTACATCTTGGGAACATTAGCTTCTCTGAAGCTGGGAACTACGCGCAGGTGGAGAATGAGGGTCGTGAGTGATGTTTTCTATGCATTTGTTTTGGAAGTGGAGTGAATTTGCGCTTGAAGACAGCCTTAAAGGCGTTTAAAGACTCAGTCGTAAAGGTGCAGATTGTTATTGTTGTTGTTATCATCGTCGCCCAAACACCGGCCACACGATTGATTGTGCTTCTGTTCTGTTCTCCGCAAGACCTGGCCTTTCCTGCGTACTTGTTGGGAATCGACCAGTTGAAGTTGCAAGAGAAAGTGACAAGTCGGAAAATGGACAGCAAGTGGGGAGGCAAGACTGAGTCCATCAACATGACCCTGAACGTGCAGCAGGCAGGATACACTCGGGACGCTCTGGCGAAGGCCCTCCACACACGAGTGTTTGACTTCCTAGTGGATGTAAGTACTTGCACCTCTGCGATCTGAACATGGGGTTTATCAAAGAGGTCGTTCATCTCAGGCACTCTCACCTCCGTGTCAGAACTTTGTAGGTTCCATCGGGAGTTTGAGCTCACCTAGTCTAGGCTGACACTCCAATACAGTGCTGGGGGTGGGTGGGCACTGCTTTATCAGAGGTGCCGTCCTTCAGGTGAGACATAGACCTAAGGTCCCATCTGCCTGTTCAGGTCGACAATAACGATCCCGTAGCATTATTTGAAAAGAGACGGGACTTTCTGTGTCCTGATCAACAACCCCCTAGATAAAATTGGTCACTCACTCAGTGGCTGCTTATGGGCCATTGCTGTGCACAAATTACCTATTGCATTTGCCTACAAAATACACAGTTACTTCAATTCACAGAAAATCCTGTGAAGCGTTTTGAGGTGTCCTCCCGACATGAAAGGCGCTATACCAAGTGTAAGGATTATGGTATTATCATCATCCTTATGCCATGGCTCACCATACAGTTCCACTTTCTGCCCTTTCCCTAAATCCTTTAAGGTTTTTATTTGCAATTATTTGTCTCATGTGGGGTTGCTCTGCTGAAAGCTTTGCCATATTTACCTTGGATGGAGAGGAGAAGAAAATCAACGAGTGAAGAATTATTTCTTCCCAAACCGTAATTCAATAGATTCTTAATTTCATGTCCTGAAACCCCATTGATTTTATATCATTTCTTCCCTGAGTTTAGTCAATCAACAGAGCAGTGCAGAAACCACATGAAGAATATAGCATCGGTGTGCTGGATATTTATGGTTTCGAAATCTTTCAGGTAACATACATTGTCCACTTGACTGCGTAATATAAAGCTACGTCTGAGAAGGGAATTGAGGGGGTATGGGAGAGGGGTTTGAGATGAGGGTCAATTTGTGATACGTGGATGTGAACTGAAGAAGATGGATGTTCTTTTACATTTAATCTGTTCAGAAGACTTCTCATGCCCAGCTGACGTTTCTGTGCTGTTACTAACACATCATCCACAGCCCTGACTTCCCCCAGCTTCCTGCCTCAGTCACAACCTTCATGTGAAGAACACACACCACATTTACAGAGAGCAGTCCGTACTCCGAAACTAAGCTCTCTTTTCCGCTTACCCTTATCTTCCCCTCTTACAGCATATTCTGTGAAGCACTTTGAGATGTCTCGATGGCGTGATAAGGCGCTGTATCAAATGCAAGGATGATTATTATGAGACTTGCCCTTAATGGCAAGCCATGTAGTTTCAGCTGGTTAAACTCCAGTCATACCCAACTCACTCACTGAGGTTCCCAAGCCTTGGTTTGTGCCAACCTGTGTCTAATGCTCTCCGGAATTAAGTAAGCTGGGTGCATACCTCCAGGGAGAGAGTGCGTATTCCATTTCAGACACAATGACGCTTCCACGTGTAGGAGACATACAGAGGTGGAATTCTCTCTAGTTTCAAAACTGTTAAACCTGATGTTGGGTTTCCCCACCTGTCAGACAGCCGTCTGACCAAAAATTAATTTCCCTCACCTCTTCCTGTAGCTGCAAAACTGCAACTGGAGGCAGGGGCTTGCAGCTGGAGGTAACAATATTTATTACCACGGAACAGCTAAGACCATAATACAGTACTTCCTACTATTCACTTTCAGTCGGTTGCTTAACACCAAGAATCAACCGTTCAATAAGTGCTGGCCGCTTAGTAAATCTGACAGAGAATTTCGTTGGTCATGGTTAACTTGTTGTTTTTCACCTCTTTTATTTCCCGCAGAAAAATGGCTTTGAACAGTTCTGTATTAACTTTGTAAACGAAAAGCTTCAGCAGATTTTCATTGAACTGACGCTCAAAGCAGAACAGGTGAGGAAATGTTACACAACAGGAGCATGAGAGAGGCTGGGTTGAAGACAGGACAGCCCTTAAACCCATTTAATCTCATTTTTCCAGAATACCAACCCACCGCAAGTGGACAGTACCTTAGCCGGCTCTCTTTCGTAAGACTCCCTCTTCTCCTCCTTTGATTCCACAATTCCCCACCCCAACTTGGTGTCACCTGCAATTTGACTTCCATCCCAAACAATAGACTGGGCTGGAGAAATGAATATCCTTGAGATTGCAAGTGAGAGGACCTGGGTTTGATTCCTGGCAGGGCGAAAACTTAGGCAAGCTTCCTTACTCCATACACACTCCTCTGTTTACCAGGCAGTAAGTAGGAACCCAGTTGTTAGTCGATTGCTGGATCGCTTTCCGGGGGTCATAATTCCTTCTAATAAATAAATAATAATTTGGTCACTTAATCCAGGACTATTTCTGGGACACTGCTGTGCGCAATTGGCTGCTATGTTTCACTCACAAAACATACAGTCAATTCATTTTACAGTATATTCCATGAAGCGTTTTGAGACGTCTCAATGATGTGATAAGGCGCTATATCAAATGCAAGGATTATAATTATTATAGCTAGTTGCTTAACCCTCAGACTGTAGTACTGGAGTACAACCAATGTAGTGTTGCGTGTATGTCGGGCGTTTCACACGGGAAAATGTCTCAAAACCCTTGACAGATCAGAGTCAAATCCTGAGCAAGGCAGAAGATGAGAGGATGGAGGTTATAAGAGGAGGATGAATGGTTTGAAGCCAGAGATGGAAGGTTTGAGAGAGTTAGGGAGAGAGTTCCACGAAGTGGGGACAAAGTGATTGAACGTTCACTCACTGATGCTGAGGTGGAAGGGACAGAGTGTAGGGAGTGAGCGGCAGGGAGTAGGACTGCAACCAATCTCAGAGGTAGGGAGAGGAATCTAAAGAGTGTGGAAGACTGAGCTGGGAACGCCGGGGCTAGAGGGCGTTGCCCTGTATAACGATCCCTGGAGTGTTTCTCACCCACTTTATTTTTCTGTCCGACAGGATGAGTATGTTCAGGAGGGGATTAAGTGGACACCCATTGAATATTTCAACAACAAAGTTGTCTGTGACCTGATAGAAAATAAAGTTGTAAGTACTTTTGAAATCAGCCTTGTGGCAGAACTCGGTGCAATTTGTCGTTGGTTGTATCTGAAGGAAGAAAAGTGAAATTACGACATGGACAACTTCAAAGTTATTCAGGTCGTTCACTACCAACGGCACTTTCTGTTTCCTGCGTTCGCACAAATGATCTTGGTTGTGACCTAGATATCAACTTTTTTTTCACAACTAAAATAGCCGATTTCTGGCTCATGGGGTCACTTCCTGGAAGTGATGTGAACAACGATCTTGTGAAGTGGAAGTCGGCCATTTTAGCACAAAAAATTGGCAGGTGTGTGTGAAGCGAGCGGGCGGGCTGGCTGAGTGCCCACGGACTGAATGAGTTCCACCGGGCACCTAAGTTATAACTTAATTCACATGATAAAGAAACGAGTTATAACAGAGTCGCGCTGGGCCCTCCTTGACAACAACAAATTACACTTGTATAGCGCCCTTCACGTCAGAAAGATGTCCCAGGGCGCTGGACAATTAGGGGTTTTGGACCCAAGCTGGGAGTTGGGGTCAGGAGAGGTGGAGGGCAGGGGGCGTTGGGGGGGGTGGTTGGCTGAAGGCACGCTCGAAGAGGAAGGTCTTTAGACGGGACTTGAAGAGGGCAAGGGAGGGGGTGAGGCAGAGGGATTGCCCTCTGTTTTTTTTACTTCAGTCCTGAGAGGAGCCAATGGAACAAAGCCAATCTCTGACCATGCGTTTCCTGTTCTCCGTTCCAGAATCCCCCCGGCATAATGAGCATTCTTGACGATGTGTGTGCCACCATGCACGCCACAGGGGAAGGAGCGGATTCTACCCTGCTTCAGAAGCTCCAGGCCGGAGTAGGGACTAACGATCACTTCAACAGCTGGAACCAAGGGTTTATAATCCACCATTATGCTGGAAAGGTACCATCCAATACTGCTGTGGCAGAAAATATCATTACGTACCACACTCACTGGAATTCAGGTCTCAATCAGAGTTTCCTCCAATTGGCAGGTGCTTCACATTGTCCCAGCCATGCTTCTTGTTCTTAGATGCTTCAGGACAGAGGAAGGTCTTGGCCTGCAACCGGCGCAGGTTTTCTTAGCTGATGACGTTGCTCTAGCCTGAGTGATACAGCAAAGTAAATGTAACAACTACCTTTTAAAGGCTTGAGGCGTTAAAAAAAGAAGTAAGGGCAGTGCGAATGGGCAGAGTATTTTGTGTTTCACTCAGCATATCACCGTAATTTCAATTGACCCGTGCGTTTCGTCCACAAAATACACAGTCAATCCGCTTTACAATATATTCTGTGAAGCGCTTTAAGTTGTCTCAACGACGTGATGAGGCGCTATATCAAATGCAAGGATTATTATCGTTATTATTATTCACCATTTGAATTATTTTGTTGCAGGTGAACTATGACATGAATGGATTTTGTGAGCGCAACAGAGATGTCCTCTTCACTGACCTGATCGAGTTAATGCAAAGCAGCGAACTGTATGTTTCTAAGATTTTCATTTTTCTCCTTTACAGCTTTCTTACCTGTGTTCGCCCTCTTTCTTCCTTGCTTACCAGTGTGTTTTTTCTAAATCTGTTGCCAGGCCCTTCATTCGATCGCTGTTCTCAGATAATATTCAAACTGAAAAGAAAGGCAGACCGACCACAGCGAGTATGAAGATCAAGGTAGAGACTGACCTCTTCCATTGTCGGCACTGCTTTATATCAGGACGGTCCAACTGGCGGCCCGCGGGCCGCATCCGGCCTCCCACCCCCCCACTTCCCTCCATTTCATCTGCCCCACCCACTCCCTCTATAACCCGTAAATGTTGTTATGGTTCTGGAAGCGAAACTTAGAAATATTGCTTATGCGGCCCGCGGGAGATCCCATTATTAAGATTTAGGGAAAAGATCATATGAACTTGGATTCTTGAGTATCCATTAGGAAACTAGAAGCCCTCTGTTACACTCTAAATTCCACCTGGGTCTCAATTTACTCCATTAACGTAGCACATTAGCTAAAGGCTACGCTGCCAATAGTGGGGCGGAGAGGGAGGAACAACAACAACAAATTACATTTGTATAGCGCCTTTCACGTTGGGAGGATGTCCCAAAGCACTGGAGAGTGAGGAATTTGCACCCGAGCTGGGGGTTGGGATCAGGGGCTGTGGAGAGCAGTGAGTGTGGGGGTAAGGGGGTGACTGAAGGTGTGATCGAAGAGGAAGGTCTTGAGCTGGTATGCTGAATGGGCGGACAACCATAAGGGAGAGGCCGGGAAAGATCAGAGGTAAGGAGGAGGTGAGAGGTTGAAGAGATTTCTAGGAGTGGGTGAAGGTCTTGCAATCAATCTGCTGGGAGATGGGGAGATAGTGGAGTTTTCACGTTTGAAGCTCTTTTGTTTTCCATTTATAGGTAATCTCTGCATTAACAATAATCAGTAATATATTCAGCTTGTATTCATTTATTTTACATTAATCAATTGTCTTTACTCTAATTTAGAAACAAGCAAATGACTTGGTCAGCACGTTAATGAAATGTACTCCACACTACATCCGCTGTGTGAAGCCCAATGAGACAAAGAAATCCAAGGACTGGGAGGAGAGCAGGTGAGTTTTTCAGCTTGTCTTAAAGTTCCCATCCTCTGTTCTGTGACCTGGGAGGTGTAGCCCTATACCAGGAATCTGTCGCCAAAAGCCTGCGATTGCTCTGCGATTATTCTGAGAAGTGGTACACTTTAACCTTCAAACCATCTCAAAGCGTCTGTGTGAAGCTTTGAGATGCTTTAGCAGTACACTAGTTCCTCGCCAACAATCTCCCAGATAAAATTGGTCATTCACTCATGTAGGACATTGCAGTGCGCAAATTGGTTACAGGGTTTGCCAGCAAAATGCCCAGTCACTGCACTTTATGTTATATCGCATGAAATGCTTTAAGAAGTCCTCCCAATGTGAAAGGCACTATTCCAAACATAAGGATTATTATTATTTATTACGTCCCTATATATTTCGCCCACAAAGCATGCGGTCAATTCACTTAACAGTAAATTCTGTGAAGCGCTTTGAGACGTCTAGAAGATGTGGTAAGGCGCTATATCAAATCCAAGGATTATTATTATTATTCATTCAATGCTAAGGGTTGTGTTCGTCCATTAATTTCCAATGGAGGTACCTGACAGCAGTGGAAACAGTAGCTTCCTCATGTTTTGTGTTGCAATGAGCAGCTCGGCACATTGGCACATGAGTGACGGTAGGCGAGAGCGGCTTTTGAGGTCTGTCTCAGCCCTTGACCAAAGCGATGAGGTGAAAGGACAGGATCTGATCCATGCTTTGGTGGGCTCCACCTTTTCAGGGTGAAACATCAGGCTGAGTACCTGGGGCTGAAGGAAAACATCCGAGTCCGGCGGGCAGGCTTCGCTTACAGAAGAGCTTTCAACAAATTCATACAGAGGTACGCTCCTGTCTGTCGCCGCCCGCTCTCGGTTCCGAGTCTCGGTTTTAAGAATCGATTCACGACAAAGAACGTTGGAGGCTTTATCTCGTTGCACTTTTGCTTCATGGAATCTTCAGTTGTGTCGATGTTGGAATAGGAACTTAGTGTTAAGAACGATACCACGTCAGAAGCCTTCCCTCAAACAGTAGGGTAACAGCATTCAAGCCTTGGGGCTTTACGAAGAGTTGAGAAGGAAATAAATGTTACAGGTTTCCTAAAAATGGTCACTCTTAACCGTTCGAAGTTCCAACCCACTGCCGCCCTTCTCCAGGTAAAATTTACTGGTGGCTTTACTCAACCTTCCCCCATCCCACATACACACACACACACCCCGCAATATTTGTTTCACTGCATTCGATCAGCAAGAGGAGCATTGGAATCTACATGATCTGATCAGGAAGGCAAACACCGTGACTTTGTTTTTGAAAAGCTAAATTAGAAACCGAATAGGGACTTCGCGCAATTAAGCCTTTGCAGGGTTTATTCCCTTCAATGTAGTTCCAATGTGAATTACCTTCAGCCTCTTTGGCAGTCCTCTGTGTTCATTAAATCACTCGTCCACGTCTGCTGCTTTGATTCAAAGGCGAAGTCAATGCTTATGGGATTTGATGCTCCCAGACAGGAGCTCTAATCAGTTTTGCTTCTCCATAAAAAAACACACATGATTGGAAAAGGATCACTGAGACAAGCTGACAGCCCGAGGAGGAAATGAATCTCGGGTGCTGTGAGCATGCTTTTCGTTAGCGGATTTCTCTGTTCGGGTGAGATGGCTATAGCTGAGGGGCCTCCTGCCTTTCCTCGCGTGGTTGTCAAGCCCTTTCTCTCTTTCTCTCTCTTTCTCTCTCTCTCCCGCTCCCTCTCTCCATCTCTCCCTGAGAGTCTACTTTTGTCTCTCTGTGTCTCTATCTCTCTGACTCTCTCCAACTATCCTTCTTTGGTCTTTCTCTCTCTCTCTGGCATTCTCTATCTCTCTGACTCTCACTCAATCTGATTTTGTGTCTGCCTCTGGCCTCTTTATCTCTTGATCATTCTGTCTCTGATTCTCTCTCTCGGACTCTCTCCCTGTCTCTAGCTCTGCACTGTACCTGTAACAGATTACTAAATAAACACTTCCCTTCACATTGCCAGGTCTGAGTTGCGCTGTGCAGCTAAATCATAAACCCTGAAACATGACTCACATGTATACACAACTGCACAGCCTTGAGCTTCGTTCTACAACGATCCATCAGATAAATTGATCAATCATCTCACGGCTGTGGGTGGAACCTTGCCGGGTGCAAAATAGCTGCCAAGTTTGCCCACAAAAACCATCACTCCACTCATCAGTAGTTATGCTGACATCACTTATTATTGGTTATGCGGGAGACCCCAAGCCTCGGTTCTCGCTCACTGCATTGTGTGACGTGTTCTTGTCTAATTAAAGGTACGCCATCCTTACACCAGAGACCTGGCCACACTGGCGCGGTGACGAGCGACAAGGAGTTCAGCATCTGCTTCGGTCTGTCAACATGGACGCTGACCAGTACCAGATGGGGAAATCCAAAATATTTGTAAAGAATCCAGAATCTGTAAGTTTCCCCTCCTTGTCTCCCAAGCTCCATTCCTCTCTCCGCCATCACGATTGGCTGCCATGTTTCGCCCATGCTATATATAGTCAATTGACTTTACAATATGTTCTGTGACGCCTTTTCAGGATGGTGGAAGGCAAGTTTGATGGGCCTTGGTTTTCTATCGCCTAGCAAATTCTTGTATACTTATGACTTTTTTTGAATTCCCAGCTTTTCCTCTTGGAAGAAATGAGAGAGCGAAAGTTTGACGCGTTTGCGCGGATCATTCAGAAAGCGTGGAGGAGGTACATTGCTCGAAGGAAGTACGAGGAGATGAGAGAAGAAGGTAAAAAAATGGCTCATTTCGGAAAGTATTCCTCATTTGAGATAGCTTGCTAAGGCGTTGGCCGTGTGTTAACACAATAACCTCGTCAATCCCAGGGCCTGCATTAACCTTCGGAAACCTACTTCCTTTTTTTTTGGTCTGATGCTCGTGGAAACCCATCGCTCTGCGTCCAATTGTTTTTCTGATTTTCTCCCTTTTGCCTCTCTGCCTGCTCCTGGTCCTCAGCCTTCTCTTGTTGAGTCCAGTTCCATGGAGATTGGTTGCCCTCCAAGCACTGGTCATCGTTCATGTCTGAGCCTCATCAGTCAATATCGACTGTAGAGGGCATCAAATGCAAACCTCACCTTTCTGTACCTGGTTGCCATATGCATTGCTGAAGAGGAACCCGATCAACAGAAAAACAAGCTGATTTACACCTCTCTAACCCTAGCAAGTTCCTAGGACCAGGTTAGCCTCTCCATCTACTCCGCCTGAGACCAGCAAACTCAGCACGGATTTGACCCAGCAAGCTCCTGATCTTGTAAACTGCAACTCTATCTATTAAACCCCTGTAGCTGCCCAACCCCATCACCATGCTGAATCAGACTTAATGCTTAATTAGCGCGGAACCAGACTGAGAGTTCTACATATGCATGCCACCCACACATGAGAATTTCCCATCTCTGTTTGGCTGCCTTAACACAAATGAGCACACTCATAGCAATAATACAACATGAACCAGTTTAATTAGCTCGTGACACCATCAGAGATGCCTACACGGTTTGTTCTCCGGCCAGCTCCTTGTGATGGGAATAACATCAGACGATTTACACCCTAAATCCTGGGCTCATCACTGACTGCAATAAATAATCATAGAGCAGGAGGAAGACACAAATACAGGAAAGAAATAATCTTATCCTGCAGAACAATGATAATAATAATCCTTGCATTAAATGCTGAGATTTAGAATACCAAACCCCAACTACTAAGTGGATGTAAAGCTTAATGTTTCCAACTTCTCTCAAATAGTCTTGGGAGCTCCACTGCCCAAATTTCAATTATATAGTGTTTTGTGGGACAGAGTCGGAGCGCTTAACAGTGGCGGAGCCTGACACTGAGCCAGAGGGAGAGAGGGAAAAGGCCCAGGGTGAGACTGAGCCATGGAAACATGACAAGAACCAAGTTCGACCCCTCCAGCTGAGGTAGCTGATCTCAATGGGGGGGGCTGCAATCAGCCTCAATATCCCCAGGGTGAAACGTTGTGCTGATACAGTGTCTTTATGTTTGTGGGCTGATAGCTTCCAGCATTCTGTACAACTTCAAAGAGAGAAGAAGAAACAGCATCAACCGGAACTTTGTTGGCGACTACCTTGGCATGGAGGACAGGCCGGAGTTACGGCAGTTCCTGGCAAAGCGGGAGAGGGTAGATTTTGCAGATTCTGTCAATAAATTTGACAGACGATTTAAGGTAACAAGTGATTTTTTAAAATACTGGTGACTATAGGATGTAGACTTATGGAGCTATCAAGGCACTTTAAGTTGTCCGCCCAATGTGAAAGGCGCTACACAGTATAAATGTAAATTGAATTGTATTTTATCTAATCAAATCCAATTTCCCTGCTCACCGACCCCTTTTGCATTTTGTTCTTCGAGAGTTTATACAATTACAATAAGTAAAATAAACGAATGAGCCTTGCTTGGCACGTCAGGAGGACATCTCAAAGCATTCAGTAAAGTGTAGTGTGTGTGTCCAGTCAATGCATGATAACACGTCACTCCAAGGGCTTAGTATCCGGAGTAGCAAGTTAGGCATATGTATAAATATATAAATAAATGTGGCAGAAAGTTGACAGCATGATGACTTACGTGGTAGTGACAAATGAACTCAGGGTCGAGTTATCAAGAGTCGAATCTATTTTGCATTCTTTTTTTAAATGTAATTGACTTACCTTTCATCATAACTAAATCCAGTCATCCATTTATACCATAGGAGCAGGAGCATAGGGAAGTACTGGGAGGATAAGGAGGGCATTGGGACAGCTAATCAGCCAACTTCCGTGCCAGAAACAGAAGCGTATAACATTTCCTGCAGCTGTCACATTTTCGCTGCAACTTCCTGTAGCCACAGGTTCACAGAAGACCCATGTTATAAGCGATCTTGTGCTCTGGGGCAGTGCTTAATAACGGGTCTTCCTTTGAGCCCAGAGATCATGACAAGATGTGCCACAGCGATCATTGGTCAGCTATTTGTATCACAGCATCACTCAATATCGCTTTCGATCATAACAAATGACTCTTCTATTTAATTATTTTTAGATTATAAAGCGCGACCTTATTCTATCTCCGAAGTATATCTATCTGATCGGGAGAGAAAAGGTTAAGAAGGGACCTGAAAAGGGGCAGATCAAGGAGGTAATAAAGAGAAAGATCGAGATACAAAGCATCGTTGCGGTGTCTATGAGGTATGGCGTTTGCATTTTTTGATGCTAAGTTGCTTGCGTTCTGTCTTCAAGGGAAATTCTAGACAATAACCTAACTAAAAAAAGTGCTCATCTGCAGCTTTCTGGCTCAGTTGCTCACTCTTGCCTCTGCCCAGCGTGGGGCAAAACTAATTTCACTTCAGAACAGCTCTGCGGAGCTTCCATTCCGTCCACTACGGTTTATAATGCTGGCACTGCCTTTCATTGACAACTACCGACACCGTGCACTGGTTGAAACCATTAACAGATACATGATGCTCTGGGACGCTATCCTGGCGTGAGGGGTGCTGTTTAAATGCAAAGCGTTGTTGTTGTTGTTGTCGTGGTCGTTGAACCAACATTATCCCTCTGCATTCCTTGCAGCTCCAGGCAGGATGATTTCTTTATCCTGCACGAACCAGAGTATGACAGCCTCTTGGAGTCTGTGTTTAAGACGGAGTTCATCAGTCTGCTATGCAAACGGATCGAAGAGCTTACGAGTCGGAAGCTGAAGCTCAACTTTTCTGACTCGTAAGTAAAGAGAACATCTTTTTATTCTTTGATCGCTCCACTGAAACGTTTCATTGCTTTCTTTGCTCGAGCTGGTTCAAGAATCCTCACATTTGATATGACGCCCTTTCACTTCTCAAAGCTTTTCGCAGGATATACTGTAAACAACAACAACAAAATTACATTTGTATAGCGCCTTTCACATGGCGGAGGATGTCCCAAGGCACTGAAGTGGGGTGACTGTGTATTTTGCAGGTGAATTTGGCAGTTTGCACACAGTAATGTCCCACAAACAGCCTCACATGGAGTGAGTGGCAAATTTTATTTGACTCAGAGTTTATAATATGAGGGTCAAAATAGCAGTGTAGTTAGCAACTGGTTACAGTTGCAAAGAGCAATTTCAGGACAGATACCAGGAAGTTTTCCTTTGCCCAGAGGGTAATTAACGACTGGAATGGGGTTAGTCAGGAAAGGGTGGTCGAGGCCAGGTCACTGGGACCCATTTAAAAAGCAACTTTATGCTGTGATGGAAGCAAGGCTGGGGATTCTGACGGGATTAGTCTGAATGGCTTTCATCATCTGAACTAATCTTTTGATCTTGTTAGCAGGCATCTGTGAATGTCACCAGAAGTGCTAGTGCCTTCAGTAGAGAAAGGGGGAAACACTAAAGAAAAAAGCATGTTCCAAATTTTTGTCTTCGTTGATAAAGTGCCTGTCTGATCAGTCACCCGAAGCAGTCACCTTAACGTTGGAATTTTATGAGGACCGATTTTGAAAGTGGCTTTGTGCTGTGTTTTACGCTGTGTACTTTAGTTGTTACTTGACCTGTGTTTAACAGATTACATTTCAAGATCAAGAAGGAAGGCTGGGGAGGTGGTGGCAGTCGGAATCTCAGCTTCATCAGAGGCGTAGGGGAGGTGGCGGTGGTTAAACCCGCAGGAAAAACTCTTCAAATCAGTATCGGTGAAGGATTGCCCAAAAGTTCAAGTGAGTCATTGATAATCACACCCAATGCTCCAATGCTCAACCTCTGATCTGTGCTGAGATGAGTTGGTCTCTGCCAGGCAGTTATTGTGTGGCACTAACATCGACCTCACTGTATACCTCATTTTAAATGGATTGAAAAACTTAAACAATACTTTTGGACGGACCAAGAAGGATAATTTCAAGACAGACACTGGGAAGGTTTTCTTCATGCAGGGGGTAATTTACACCTGGAACAGTCTGACAGAACAGCAACCACTTCCATTTATATAGAACTGGTTGTGTGGGCCCTGAAGGACACTGGAATTTGGAAGTAAAGCTTGACGTTGTAATGAGAGAACGGGAGGGGAAGGTATCCTGGAGGGATGAGATCAAATGGGCCGAATGTGAATGTGTCCCTGGACTGAAAACATCATAGTTTGCAAATCTTCCATTCCACCCGTACACAGGATTTAATGTCTAAAGTATAACTGGCCTCAGTGTTAAAATAAATTGCCTGATTATCAGCATCAGCTGTAGTAGTTAACTGTGAAATGTGCTAATGGTGAATCTCGCATTATATTGTATAACAACTTGCATTTATATACAAATATTGTATTGAATCTTGCATTGTACAAGTGCTCCGAGACACTGCCTGGTGTGAGGGGTGCCATATAGATGCAAGTTGTTGTTCTTCTTGTTGTTGTATTGGGACCCTATTAGATGATCTTCATGTAAAGCATTTTCTTTCCCTTTTGGTTTAACAGAACCAACCAGAAAAGGCATACCAGTCACCAGGGGATTTCAGAAAAAAGCACCATCGAGATCAGCCCCTCCACCGCCAGGTAAACATTTTTTACGTGTGAGTGTGGGGGGGTGGGGGTGATGTATCTGAAATGAATGAGTGAAAGACCACTGCAGACAAGTCTCTGATGTCTTTGGTTGAAATAAAGAATGAGAAGAGAGTTGCATTAATAAAAAAGGCGATGGTTCAGTTTTCATTTCCCACAATCAACGTGCAATACAAAATTACATTTGTAAAGCACTTTTCACGTCGGGAGGACATCCCCGGGCGTTGGTTCGTTAATCTTCCATTCCACCCATATGCGTGATTTGTTGAACGTCACAAGTTATTGAACTGCATGCTGAAGTATTAACTTTCTTTCTGTGCTCTCTACCTCACCATTGTATTAGCTCGCGAATAGGTCAGCAAATGTAATGGAAATATTAATGGTTGACTGGATGGTGGACAAGAATCTTAAAGAATCCCATCCTGGTGCCACTAGGATGGAAGAAGCTTTCTTACCATTAATTATTTTCTCTTTTCTGAAGACTCTCATCGGAACGGGGCGCCCAGATCATCACGGTACAATCAGGCGAGCCAGGAACATACCTATACCAAAGTCCAGAAGAGCCCGAGAAAGATCACAGGCCATTCTGAAATGCCTTCACTGCCCAAACTGGGGGCAAACACCAGGGCGAGAAAATCAGTCAACAATAATACCAATCTGGAGTTCATGAGAGTACCTGATCAAGGAGTGGCAGGGTATGTTCCCTTGAGTTCAGAAGGCTGAGGGGTGATCTGATTGAGGTTTTTAAAATAATGAAGGGATTCGATACAGTAGATCCAGAGAAGCTAATTCCTATGTTGGGGGAATCCAGAACGAGGGGTCATAATCTTTAAAATTAGAGCTAAGCCATTTAGGAGTGAAATCAAGAGGCAGTTTTTCACCCAAATGGTAGTGGAAATTTGGAATTCTTTCGCCAAAAGGCTGTAGATGCTGGATCCATTCACATTTTCAAGATGGAGTTAAAAGAAAATTTAGGTCAGGGTATTGAGGGATATGGGGCAAGGGTGGGTAACTGGACTTGAAGTATAGATCAGCCATGATCTTATAAAATGGCGGAACAGACTCAAGCGGCTGAAAAGCCTATTCCTGTTTCCATGTCTATGTATCTATGTCTACGTAAGTAAAAGAAGGTAGAGCAATGCCACAACCAACATAGAGCCAAAGGAAAGCTCTCCAGCCTTTGTTTCTCAGGTGTCAGCCTGGCTCGGTTAAGAGTTAATAGCTCTGATTCAAAAGGTTATGAGTTCAAGGCCCACTTTGAATGTTTGAGCTCGCTGTCTAGGCTTACACTGCAGTTCGCTAACTAGATCGTCCTTAATTGTGGAAGTTGGAATGGGTTTTGCTATGATTGTTCCCTCCCCTTCTCCCTCACCTATCGAGACGTCCCTTTGAAGAAGAGTAAGATATCAGAGACACAATTGGAACTTTACCCCAACCGGAGGTTCCATCATTACCTTTAGGAGATGCAAGAAGGGTGGTGGGGGGGGGGGGGGGGGGGGGTGCGGGGGAAGAATGAACAAAACTAAATTTAGTCCCATTATAGGCATATCTGTGCAGTAACATTCATTACCTAGTTTCACAATGTAATGAAGGACTAGGAGTACAATGCATTATTCTTCCAAAATGTTGCACCTGAGCGCCGATGTCTCAGAGGGAACCTTATAGAGGTGTGTACAAAGTTTTAAAATGGGATTGCACAAGTAAAGCCAGAATAATACTTTAGGGTGAACCGAGGCAGTAGAATAAGAGGAAATAGATTGCAAAAGGGCAATTTCAGGACCTTTTTCTTTACCCAGAGAGTAACTGGAAGAACCGGTTGCCAGAAAGCCTGGTTGAGGCCAGCTCACTAGACTCATTTAACAAACAGCTTGAGGCTGTGATGGGAAAATGTTAGTGTATGGTGTTCTGAAAGGTTGAAATCAAATGGGCCCAAAGCGATTTCTTCGTCTGAATGGATCTTGTGATTGATCTTGTGATCTTGTGAAATCTGTGTTCCGTAGGATGCAAAGAAGGAAAAGCGTCTCTCAAAAACCTCCCCCCGCAGTAGGTCATCCGAAACCACAGTCTAGACGCGAGGGTCCCAAGTGCCGGGCACTTTATCAGTACTCGGGCCAGGATGTAGATGAAATCAGCTTCAACACCAACGACATCATAGAACTCCTTGTAGAAGGTAAGATGATGTTCCTGTTATGTGCAGTAACAATTAATAATAATAATCCTTGCATTCGATTTAACGCCTTATATCTTCGAGACCTCTCAAAGCGCTTCACAGTATATATCGTAAAGTCTAGTGACTGTCTATTTTGTGGGCGAAACGCAGCAGCCAATTGCTCACAGCAGCGTCCCACAGTCGCGGATTGAGTGACCAATTTATTTATTTTTTAATTTGGGGGCGGAAAAATACCACACGTGATGTGCTAATCATCACATGGGCAAAAAGTGCAGTCAAAAGCCATCTATACTGACTGTCAGTGGGGAGGGGGGACAACCTTTAAGTGATTGTGAGCCACCATTGTTGACATTTGTTACCGGCTTAATTTATTGCCAGTGATAATTATCACATCACGTCTCAAGTTTTTCACCCCACGAAATGTGACCCTGATGGGAGTCGTGGTTCAGGGGCATCTGTGAAGATCGCTCGTCAGTTGATATTTATTGAGACATATTCGAAATCACTGGAAAATAATAAATTGCGGGCGGAAAAATATTGACCTCTAAAATGCCTTTCTTTTACAGTGAAATGATTATTATTTGATCCTCATTGACACAATCACCTTTTTCAGATTCATCGGGATGGTGGAAGGGACGTATAAATGGGAAAGATGGACTTTTTCCGGGGAACTATGTGGAGAAGATCTGAACTATTGCAAAGTGATGCCAAATTTCACTGCACTGAGAAACCTCTACAAATGAGCATTGAACGGGGGGAAACTTGTCCAAGACCCTGTTTATTTATAGGAAACCTTTGATTCAGGGTTTGAGACAGTCTGCATATTGCATTCTAATGGGGGGAAAAATAACTGCTAGTTTCTAGGAACTAGAAGTCACTGTGCGCCGGATGCAAGTTTCAGTAAATAATCTATAAACAGATTATAAAAACATGTTTTTTTTAAAAGATAAAGATTAATTTGCACTAGTAAACCAATATTTTTTTATTAAGAAACCAATAGTGATCTCTTGGTTGAGTCAATTTCACCTAACTCTGCTGTTACAGGGAGCATGTTCTAAAGAGCTTAGTTGGACCACATCAGGCTGGTCCACCTAATTAAATGATCTCGGATCCTGTGAAATCTGTGTTAGTATATTGTTTGAGATGGGTCAGTCAAATGTGTATTGGGTACCTTACAGGATAGGGTATGTTAATGTCATTCAGGATCTCATTATGCGCTTTGAATGATGTTTGCTTGCTGTTACCGTATCTGTTTTCATATAGAATGGGTTGTCCATGGCTCTCGTTTCGTGCAGTAGGAAAATGAACCGTTAAAGGCTCGAAAACTCTTAGATTCAATCCCTAGTTAACTAATCTCAGCCGGGGCACACGTAAGGGAACTACAAATGCCCCTGGGCTAGGGAAGGAATATTTCAGACAGGCTCCCTCCACCCTCCCACACACACACAAACACACGCACACATCCTCCTTCCTAATCACTATCCAGTGACTCCTATTTGTGTTCCTGTGTGGACATTGGATGAGGAATGGATTGGATTAGACTGCGATGCTTCTCTTGAAGAAAGATGATCCATTGAACATCACTTGTTTTATCATAAATCATTAAGATCAGACCTTTCTGTCTTAACATTTAAGAAGGCGCAGAATTGTGGAAAAATTCTTCCATTTATTCTTGCTTTGGAAACCTACTGACTACAAGTTTTAACAAAAATCCTTACATTTGTTACAGCGCCTTTCATGTCAGGTGGACTTCTCAAAGCGCTTCACAGGATGCACTGTAAAGTGCAGTGACTGTATTTTGTAACGGCAATGGCAAAATACGAGCACAGCAACATCCTGACTTGAAAAGTAATCGGCTTCCAAAGTTAATTAAGGCTTTCCCACAATTTTGCGCAACCTTAGAATTTAAGCCGAACTAGTCCTGGCAGATTTGGACCAAGTGGAATCTGAGGTCACTGGTATTAAGAGGGATGGGTAAGAGCACTGATGTATCCCGGCAGATTTGCGGGTGCTTTGTAGCTCTGGATCACACAGACAGTTTAATATGAGCAATTGAGGAGGCCACTTTATAACTGGGATTTCAGCAATTGCAATATTTCATACTAGTGCAATAGGAACAGATGAGGATGTCGTAAACGTTTAAGTATTGAATTTATTTGCACTTAACGGAGTTCACCATGTAATTGATAGTCTCTAAACGATAATGTTTGATGTTGGAAGAGGCCCTTGGGTTTATCACAAAGGCTATTTCCTCTAATATTGAACAAAAAACAGTAACTTTTGCTGTATGGAGCACAGGTCTGCAGCACTTTGCCTGGTGATTATGTTCAGCGGGTTTCTCAGCGGGAAAGGTTTTACTGTCACACATTATGGATCTAAATCATCTTTCCGATTCTAAAAACAATTTACTTTTCCATACTGTAGCACCTTTCACTTTGGAAGGACACTGCGAAGCATTTTACACAGCAGAGCATTAAGGAAATAAAATCCGGGAAATATTTAGATAGTTTATCAAGCAAGATATTCTCAAAATAAATAATAATAATGCTTGTATTTGATATAGCGCCTTACGAAGTCATTGAGACATCTCAAACGCTTCACAGGATATACTGTAAAGTGGCGTGACTGTGTTTATTTTTGAGGGTGAACTGAGTAACCGATTTTGCGTGCAGCAAAAACAACCGTAAAATGAGTGACCAATTTTATGTAGGGGATTTTTGGCCAGCGCTCCGGGAGAAACTCCCTTCTCTGGTCAAATAGTGCCACGGGAACTCGGTTTAACCTCTCACCTGAAGCACCCCCACTGCACTGGAGAGTCAGCATCATCTATATGTATAAATAAAACAAATGGCATGAAATCAGCAAACAATCTTAGCGGCAAATCTCTTTGCAAGCAGTCGGACTATTTGGCAGCGCACGATAGCAAATATTGAATTATTGATCTCTTAAAAACCTGGCGTGCTTCAAAAAAATCTGCTCATTAATTCAGCAAATATTTCCAGAGCCTATTAACATGCTATAAACACAAGTGGATTGTATCTGCCAACAAATCTGGAACTGTTGTTCTGTCCAATAATTTTTCAACACGTAGCAGCAAATTCCTTGAGATCTCCTCTTACTATTTGAGGAATAAAACTCTCCAGTGCCATCCGCGTTCCAGTACATTCACAATTAAAAGTCAGGGAAAATGATCAACGGTAATTTTTACAAAACGAGAGTGTGAAAGGCTCATTGCTCGGTGTTACATGTAAGCGTTGATTGTCAAATACTGTCTTTGGAATCCTTGATGGGTTCTTTTTAAACAAAGTTCATTTAAATTTGAAAGTGTAAGTTATACGATGCTGATCACCAAATGTACTATTATCTTTTTTTTCATGTTTACGGTTGAGAACGTACACTGTTGTCTCCCAAGTTACCAGTTCTGCGTATTTCTATCTGTGAGTGAATGCAAGGATAGTCCACTAATGTCATGGCTATGGGGCAAAGGCAGGTAATTGGAAGTGAGGTACAGATCAGCCACGATCTGATTGAACGGAGGAATAGCTTGATGAGCTGGATGGCCTACTCCTGTTCCTATGAACAGTTTGCAAAGTGAGCCACTGACTCAGTAATTTATTACAGTAATTTTTTATTGACCGCTGAAAATTTTTTCCTTCTGTATCACGGATTGGTTGAGCTACATGCAGGACCACAGGTTCCATTGGGGATTTGGTTATGTGCTGTACTTTTACAGAATGATTCACAATACAGAATGCAGCTTGGATCCCCGTACCATTTAAATGCATGCGATTTTTTTTTTAGCGTTACAAAGAAGGAACAATTATCTCTTTTGTAACTTGAATTAGGCTGGAGTTAACAAATAAAGAATAACTTTCAACTTGTCTGACTCAATCCAAGACTATCACTTCTGCACAGTCTTTCTGTTAGTAAATATTCTGTTATAAGTCTGTTAGATGACTATTTTGCAGAACCCTTCTTATTTTAATGGGGAGGGAAGAGAGCGAGAGATTCAAAGTTAATTTGCTTTAGCATCTTGAATTTTTAAATAGCAAACTTTGGGGAAACTTCTTTTGAGAAGTGCGTTGACCAAAGTCGAATTTCAGATATGATATGATGAAAAGGATACTGTCTTTCTTTGTTTGAGGAGAATTTATTACGCTTATAGAGACGTTTATGTGTATATGTTTGCTTTCGAGACTCACGAGTCATAAGATGTAAAAGAATGTTATTACAAGAATCCGATGTAACTAACTTTTGTAATACAGATTATGAATAAACAGGACTTTTTTGTGTCGTGTTGCTCCGTGTGCAACGTGTGTAAACAAAATCAAGACCATTTGTGTTCTTCACCCAATATCCCTGTAGACCTGTGTGTTCTAATGTTTAAAGACGAGGCTGGTCTCTCGGGCCATTCTTCAGCTAAGTAACACACCTTTGGTCACCCTCCTTCCCCCACCCGCCCTGCCCTCCACCCCTCTTGATCCCAACCCCCACCACCCCCCCAGCTCGGGTGCAAACCCTCGACATCCATCCCGACGTGAATACAAAATACAGTAGAAAATTACATTTGTACAGCGCCTTTCACGTAGGGAGAACGTCCCGAGGTGCTGGCCATTGTGCAAATG